ATTGTGACCTATGATGGCATTGGAAGTACTAAAATGATGGGCAAATTCTATTAAAGCATAACTAAAATTACATGGAATTTTACAGTAGCTTGTATATTGTATATGTATTCGTTTAAATAATATAATATTGCAGAAAAGTTTCCGTGACTATGCATACTTTTACCCTATGTCCACAACCCTGAAACATTTGCATAATAATTATAATAACAATACAGTGATAAGAACAATAAAGTAAATAGAATATATATAAGTTTAGCTTCGATTTATATAAGATTTAGTTCAGATTCGACCATCTCAAATAATGGTGATGTTGGGATGGTAGCGTTGCAGACTACAGAGGAGAGTGGGCAGTACCTCATGGAAAACCAGCACTCCTCCTTGCAGATGTGGCTGGAGTCGCCCATGCATGCTTGTAGATACATCGAATTTCAAAAAAAGATATAAAACTGACAACGACAAAATGAATTACAAAGACAAAGTGCAAAGTACTACTATTCTAACCAAATCTTATTATACTAAGAATCCACTATTTTAACAAATTTCTAACAAAAAACCCAGATATGTACAAAATGAATTTAGTTCAAAATGCATTACAGTCAATTATCAATATCACCTTTCAATCATATTAACAGTTACATTGGCTCATTGCATTACTATGTCAAAATAATCTATAAACAATTCAACCAATTTCAAACAATCTCAAACTATTTCAAAACAGTTTCATATAAATTTCAAGAGATGTTTCATCACAACACATTAGTTAGGTTGATACGATATATCAATATATCTTTGATAAATATCGATATTTTCAAAATATTAATATTTGAAACTATTATGTACTTTTCGCATATCGACAATATGGAACCTTTTAAAACTGAATCTCCTTCTGTAAAGTTGAGAAAACGCATATGTGACAGCAATTGAGAGTTGGCAATTTAAAAGTGTAAACAGAGTAAGAGTGATCACAGAAGATCGCCATCCACATGCACGAGCGATACTTTTTGAAAACAATAACTATGCGAAATGTGATGACTCGTAAACATGGAACCAAAATCTCTAATTCATTGTCTAGACTCACTGGAAAGTCTAGACAATAAATATGTCAAATCAACAATTCAAAGCTCCGTTTGGATTTACTTCAAGAACAGTGCAGGCTGACTGAACTACGTTTTCTAATTTCATAATTCGATATAGTCGATATTTTTGTTCAATATCGATATATTGCTTTTTCCTTATCACTTCAACCTAATATTACGCAAAATATTTTCAATTTATCTTGAATTGTTAGTGGGGCAGCACATTGTCATGCATACTCATATGATCTTCAAGTTCAGTGGCAATTTCAAACTCGGCATTGCAGACACAACAGATATAACCAATACCAGTTGCTTCTTTTGCTTCGAATTCCTTACAGACATCACATTGGTAGGATATACCATGGTCTTTGGCCTTGTGCTGATATAAACTTTCAATATCAGGGAACTGTTTCTCGCATTTGTCACAGACAAGATAATCGCCACTCAGTATCTCACCAACATGTCCTTGTTCTTGAATAATTTCCCTGCCACAACTGTTGCAGAATAATAAGCCATCTCTTGAATGTACTCTCCAGTGACGTTTGAGACTTTTATGTTGTGTGAATGTTTTCTTACATTTAGCACACTCAAAACACTGCTTTACGTTGTGTGCTGATATTTTATGTCGGGTTAAATTGTGTGATTCTGAAAATCCCTTGTTGGAAATGTCACATTCAAAAGGTGTGTCTCCAGTATGTGTTTTTTTATGAGTAGCTAAGTGGCTTGATTGTGAAAATCTCTTCGTACAAATATTGCATCCATAAGTTTTTCCTCCAGTATGTGTTCTTTTATGCTTGGTTAAGTTGCCCGCGCATGAAAAGCTTTTGTTGCAAACATTACATTCATAAGGTTTGTGTCCAGTGTGTGTTCTTTTATGTTTAGCAAAACTACTTGCATCAGAAAATCTTTTGTTGCAAACATCACATTCATAAGGCTTGTCTCCAGTATGGGTTCGTTTGTGCATAGTTAAGTTACCCAAGCATGAAAATTTCTTCTCACAAGTATCACATTCATGAGGTTTCTGTCCAGTGTGTGTTCTTTCATGTCTAACTAAGGTGTGTGAGTGTGAAAATCTTTTGTTGCAAACATCACATTCATAAGGTTTGTCTCCAGTGTGAGTTCTCATATGAATGGTTACAGTGCTTGAGCGCGAAAATCTTTTGTTGCAAAGATCGCATTCATAAGGTTTGTCTCCAGTGTGTGTTCTCTTATGATCGGTTAAAGTTTTTGAGTGCGAAAATCTTTTGTTACAAACATCGCATTCATAAGGTTTGTCTCCAGTGTGTGTTCTCTTATGTACAGTAAAGTGACCTGACTGCGAAAATCTTTTGTTGCAAACATCACATTCATAAGGTTTGTGTCCAGTGTGTGTTCTTTTATGTTTAGCAAAACTACTTGCATCAGAAAATCTTTTGTTGCAAACATCACATTCATAAGGCTTGTCTCCAGTATGGGTTCGTTTGTGCATAGTTAAGTTACCCAAGCATGAAAATTTCTTCTCACAAGTATCACATTCATGAGGTTTCTGTCCAGTGTGTGTTCTTTCATGTCTAACTAAGGTGTGTGAGTGTGAAAATCTTTTGTTGCAAACATCACATTCATAAGGTTTGTCTCCAGTGTGAGTTCTCGTATGAATGGTTAAAGTGCTTGAGCGCGAAAATCTTTTGTTGCAAAGATCGCATTCATAAGGTTTGTCTCCAGTGTGTGTTCTCTTATGATCGGTTAAAGTTTTTGAGTGCGAAAATCTTTTGTTACAAACATCGCATTCATAAGGTTTGTCTCCAGTGTGTGTTCTCTTATGTACAGTAAAGTGACCTGACTGCGAAAATCTTTTGTTGCAAACATCACATTCATAAGGTTTGTCTCCAGTGTGTGTTCTCTTATGAATGGTTAAAGTGCTTGAGTGCGAAAATCTTTTGTTGCAAACATCACATTTATAAGGTTTGTCTCCAGTGTGTGTTCTTTTATGTCTTAGCAAATAGCTTCTCTGGGAAAATATCTTGTTGCACAAGTCGCATTTGCTAGACATGGTTTCAGCTTTTGATCTTTTCCCCGGACGGTCAAATTACGATAAAAAATATCACCCAACTGTTCCCTCGAGTCTTTCTTTATTGAATCTTTATAATACTTCGGTTCTTACAGAATTTCTGATCATAAAAATGAGAATATTCAGAAATACAGGTTGCAAACAACACGAGTATCAAAATTAAATATGGCGCCCGAAAAGAATTCTTGTGGTGTTTCCACTTTACAAAAACAAAAATTATTGATACGCGAGATTTCGCAATCGCTAGAATAAACTCAAAAACGTGAACGAAAAATGAGATTAATCCACCCTTATTGGAAGAGAATAGAGATAGACTCTTTTGAGCGGAAGAAACTGATACATCTTTCCCGCAGCGATTTGTTTTGTCAAACCAATCAGTGTTTGAGTGTTTCATATTTTATATTTCAGTATTCTGGAAGCCATGTTTGCGCTGGATGGTAACCACTGAGCTATACTATATTACTGGAGGACGTGCTCGGGATCAAAAAGTGAAGCCAAAAACATGGCGGATTTTGACGCCATTTCCATGGCAACTGGTTCCTTTTGGCCATGAAAATACCACTGACCAGGCTCATTTCTGAGCCCGCTGAAGTTTTCACACCCCCCTGTTTTTTTCCAAAATATTCATAGGTTTTTCGAGTTTTTGCAATGAATTCTCGTTGTTTTTGATATTTTTTCATATTTATCAACCTGCGACCATCTATTCAAAGAAATACAAGTCGTAAACGTCCGGGAAAGACAACAAACGCCTCGCAAAATGTTGGCAAAGACGATATTTGAAGCAAGAGGCGCAGCTATTATGCTTCAGTCATTTGAAATCACGGCCCCCCACCCCCGGGGATTTAGCGGGGATTTAACGCTATTTAACAACGTGCTATGCCCCGGAGGGCGGTGGAATTAACAACTTTTTTATAACCGGGGAATTGACCCGGGATTTAACAGCCGCTATATATAAATACACCGGGGATAACTGGGGACTTAAAATGACACATAGGGTCGTAAAAACGAAAATGGCGACTGGCGAAAAACTTCCTCGACAGGTACGTGCGTTTGAAACTTTATATTTTATACTTAATCCTCAGCCATCCGCTGCTGTTAATATTCAATAAGTGTCATGCAGGCATCGCCTTTTCCATTGTTTGGATATAATTGGCATTGTTTACATTTTATATTTGCATATTTATTTACATTTTCATATCGATATTTTGATATGCATGACCAGACATTGTCAATACAATACTTGACGGAAATTCAATCTGGAAGTTGCGGAAGACAGGTAATTCAAATGCATGCATGATGCGGAATTTGTCTTGTTTAGGTATTCTAAAGCCCGGCCGTACGGGGGTTTTAACAGACCAGTTTCCCCCAGGGGCGGGGGATTTAACGTTTTTTAACACTTGGTTGTGTTAAATTCTCCGCTATTTCCCGGGGGTGGGGGGGCCGTGATTTCAAATGACTACCGCATTACAGTACAGCCAGGTAAAAATACTATTGAAACACAATATAATATGCATTTATTTTTTAGCACGAGAAGCTTTGTACAATATAGTGAATATTTTAGCCATGATTATTTAAGTCTTGTCGTACAAATGTAGAGATATTTCACCACACTTCCTCTCACAAACCGACAAACGCAAAGGGTTCAAATTTAACATGCTTGAATTTCATACTATTCAGATTTGCTGAGTATAAACTTTTATTTGTATCAAAGGAAGAGTATAAATTTAGTATAAACTTTTATTTATATATCTGGCTGATTTGCTGAGTATAAACTTTTATTTACAGGTGTGAAGACATGCATGAAACTACTATGTGCTACTATCTTTAAAAGAGGGATCTAGGGTGTCAAAGCAATCAGTGTTTTGTCAAGAAACTTTAACATCTGACATGTCATATAAAGCTGAGGCCTCTTCCATTCATTGCAAGAGCAACATAACTTTTGTTAGTGTTTTCAACCAATCGTCATTCTCCCCCACTTTACATGGAAGCATGGAATCATTCACAGTGAACTTGTGAGTTGATTTTGGCGATAAGTTGAAAGTGGCATGAGGGTGCTGAAAGGGTGCCAGGAGAAGGCTAATTTCGAAACCGTCGACGGTCGAGCACATCATTGATGGTCGAACACATCATTAATCTCGTTCCCAAATCGCGCCAGCGGTAATTAGCGCGTACAAACCATTCGGTGACATCTTGTACTAAGACGATGTCAGTGACTGGAGATTTCACGCAGTATAAGGTTTCAGATTTTATGAAAAGATAGCGGGTGGCAGTCGAAAAGCAAAGCAGCCAATTCGGTTTACTGGTTACTGCTCTTCGCACAAGTGTTGCAGTAACTATCTTCTAAAATTTACTTGATTATCTTAACTTTGAAGTATCTAAGTGTCTTCACTAATTAAAACTCTTGTGAAGTGAAATATAGAGAACCATCTCAAAACTAGATACAACAGAGTGACGTGGAAAATACCAACATTAGCAACAATATTATACATGCTATTTACAGTTAGCTTTAACATAATGTCTATCTATAATAATAATATATCTATAAACCTTGCACTTTTGATAAGTCCACGGCTAATGCTAAAATTGAAATATGATATATGTCGAGTGGTTCAAGTAAAAGTGAAATGTTAATTAGTTATAGTATTAGCTGTGCGGTTCCATTTTTACTTGAACCACGTGCACTCATATGTATATTGAGCAATAGAAAACATATCAAGCTTTCTTTAAGGCCCTGTCACACTATTGCGTATGAGAGAAACGTGTGAGAAGCGTATATACCGGCGTATAAGTGATATTTTTCATGCGCTGGCATACGCTAGTACGATACGCAATAGTGTGACAGGGCCTTTAGTGACAAATCTTAGCGTATCGTGTTACTGGCGAGCACGTCTCCGATTGTGCCATTATATTTAATTTGGCTTAAAATTCGTTTCTTCGTTCTCGTGACTTCGTACGTTAAAAATACGGTAGGTTACTTGATGAATATAAAAAATTGACGCACGGAACATATTATAACGCTTTTTTGACCAAGTTACAGCAGTTGTTTAGCCGTTTACACAATATAAGCCAGTTTTATCGGCCTTTAAAAACAACTAGGCCCACACTTAATGTGAAAAATCTGTTTATAACTAATTTCTGAACTCTTTTGCAGAATGAATAATAACCGAATTGGCTGCTTTGCATGCCATCTTTTCAAAAATCTGAAACCTTATACTATCATACTGCGTAAATCTTTACTGGCATCGATTGGTTTAAGGTGTCACCAAATGGTTCCACGCGCTAATCACCTCAAAAGCAATCTGGGAACGAGATTAATGATGTGTTCGACCATCAATGATGTGCTCGACCGTCGACGGTTTCGAAATTTGCGAAGCTGACATGGTGCTGTGGGCACTTGACCTGGTAACACAATTTTTACCTAGGTTTCTGGGCAATGGTGTGTTGGCTTGATAATTTCCGTTTCTTGATTATTGTGTGCCAGTGTGTAGTTGATACTAAATAAGATAGTTTGTAGGGGTCCACTCACCACTGGATCTCAGTTTTAATAGGTTAAAACCTGGAAAATATATGCCTGACAGATTATAAATTGTACTATATATAAATTGTATTATATAGGAATGGCTATAAATATGGCTATAAATTGTCAAATAAAATCACTTCCAGCTCTGGCTGAAATTTTTGTTCGTTACTGGTCAACTGAACGCTGGTCCAAACTTGAATTAAACATGTTGGTTCTTGTCTCAGCAACTGAGATACTCCCATATCAGATGCTCCCATATAAAATTTGCAGGCTTGAGTGTACAATGTACATAGCCATTTGAAAAAATGAGAATCAATGTGTACATTTTGAACAAAGACTTATCTAAATCCAGATAGTTGCATCATACATCAAAACCTGCAATAAAGCTTTGAGTTTGCTACTGTAATCTCCCTGTTAAACCTCACCCCCCCCCCACTCTAATACCCCACCCCCCACAATATAGATGAAAAAATTGTTGAGCCCCCTCTCTATTAAACATTCTTTATTAAAGGACAATGGCAACAAAATTTTTTATTGTCTATATTAAAAGTACTGCTTCACCTAACTATGAATATGATATTAATACCGTGTAAAACATTTTTGTTCAGGAGTTATATGCATATTATTTCACTGTTCATTTATATTTCGGGCGCCATCTTGGCTCGTATTTGCAAAAAATTATCTTTTTGGGTCACATGACCCGTATGACGTAGATGGCAGGGTAGAATCAAAACAACAATATATTTTTGTATAGCGTGTGTCGAGATTTTATACGTTTTCTAAAGAAAATAATGCTTTTGAGTCATTGTAATGGAAAATATTCACGAGAACCAAGTAGGGGAAGTGTTACCATACCAATATGAACCAGAAGTAGGAGAAAAAACAAGCGATGTTACCGATCAAAGCGATTCGGAACAAGAGAGCGATTCATCATCTGACGAGGAAATCGATCATGAGTTCGAATCAGCAAACGCTTGGCGTCTTCAAACTCTAAGCTGGTGTAAATGTGGACATCAGGGCATTTTTTAAGAATTCGTCAGTGGGGGGGGCCATCTACAAAAAGGGACCATACTATACCGAGTGTGGAGCAATGATAGATGGTTTGTTGGTAACAAAACGTTTGGTGTGGTATCGCATTTAATAGTAGGGGGGGAGAGCAGGGCCGTAGGAAGCTCTTTTCGTTTGGGGGGGCTGAAAGCTGAAAGCGAGGGCCGAAGGCCCGAGGAAATTTTTAAATTTAGAGTCTCTGACATGCCATTTCCTGGACTTTGGGGAAGATTTGACAGATTTCTGATTGTCAGAAAACAGCGTTTGTAGTATGTGGAAATTTAGAATTCAGTAGTACTAAATGGACGAAGGTGTATTTAATTACCTAACGATACAGTATATTGGATAAGTTGCAGGAAAGTATGGGTAATATCTTCATTCTTTGCAGTTTGTCATGGATTAAATAATAAAGGTCTGCATGATTTTGAAAAATGAATGATTATTAGCAAATTATTGGGGGGCTGCAGCCCCCAGCCCCCCCCCCCGCGGTTGCTACGGCCTTGGAGAGGGTCTGGGGTTTTCTCCCCCAGAAAATTTTTGTATTTTTCTACCCCATGACTGCAATTCCCTGCATTTTCTGAAACAGATTTTTGGATATACAG